AAAAAAAAAAAAAAGAGGGCTCAGGGTCCACTTCGGATGGTCAGCTGCTCAGCTGCTGCAGGGCCGCTCCCAAATCTGGCTCCCAATGTGGCTCAGCTGACCCGCCCGCATCGGATGGGCTGCCTGTCAAGATGGGCAACTCAGCTCAGCCCTTCTCCACCATCACCATCACCGTCCCCATCCCCAACGATTCGATTGCACCGCTAAGCCTAGCCCTTCGGCCATGCATCCTTGCTGAACCATGGCGCTCAACGCTGTGCACATTCGCGCTTCCCGCCCCGCCTCCGAACTTGACGCCGGCTACACTTCGTCAAAGACCATCGACGACGACCATGAAGCAGCTTGGCGTAATCTGCGCACCGGGACCGTGCTCCGTCCGCCTCCTCGATTCGTCAAGGCCACTCAGCTGAGCGAGTCGAATCAACCGAGCACCTCGAGCGACCATAACCCTCCCACTCTTTCACAGCTCTACGCTTCTCTCACCCAGGACTCGCGTTACCCACGCCCGCATTCGCCTTCGTTGCCCCCAACACCGCACCCTCCGCACGATGACGATCAGCACGTCCACGCACAGGGAAAGGGCAAGCCGAGGTTGCATGATTCCTCTCACCGACATCATCACCAGCACCATCCAGAAACACGTCACAGGTCCGAGTGGTTCATCTCCAGAGCGCTCACAAAGATGCGCCGCTCCAACCATGCGCCTACTCAAGCTGCCCACACTGCTGTAGCACAGCCTCCCGCCGCGCCTGCCGCTTCCTCCGCCTCCTCCAGGAGGCAGCGCTGCCAGCGCTGTGGAGACCTCCTTCCTGCCAACGCCACGCCCGAGGACATGGCGCGCCACCGCCAAAGCATCGGCCATCGCCTCGGCCTCAATGCGGACCTTGCCTCGGCTTCCGCATCCGAGGCACCCTCTCCGGCCGCGAGCAAATCGCCAACCCCAGCTGCCACCCCTCCACCCGGCTCAGCTTCGGGCCCAACCGCTGCCATCTCACTCCTCGAGGCTTCCATGCAGGCGCTGCATCGTCGCTCGCAAAATATGCCCAGGCGACTGTGCAACGCGCCACGCTGGAAGAAGATCGCCAGGGACAACGTCGGGCACACCATGCTCTCGCGTATGGGCTGGAAGGAAGGAATGGGGCTCGGCGTGCTCGAGTCGAAGCGACACCAGCAAACACGCGACAAGCTCAAGCAGAAGCGGTCCAACGCCGTGCGTCTTCTGCTCCGCCAGCAAGCATCGGTGGCGCAGCCTGGTCCGGATGGGCTCGGATCCGACCGGACGGCGATCGAGCCGCAGGTGCAGGAGGAGTGGCTGCAGCTGATCAGTCACCAGCCATCGTCATCGCAACGACAGCTGGAGCCGTTGCCGCACGAAGCGGCGTTCCCCTTTGAGCATCAAGATCATACCCGAGAGCAGCAGCGGCAGATGGCGCAGTCGTGGCTCGACGGCATGGCGCAGACCGATGCAGACTGGTTCCAGCACCTGAGCGACGAGGACCGGCTGGCGTTGGAGCAAGCATTGCTCACGGGTCAGATCACGCTCCAAGACATTCAGACGGCGCTGGGGGACATTACACGCGACCAACGATCCAGCGCGCATGCACTCGCAGACGCGGCAGAGGGCAGCGCGCTTCTCCATCCCGTGCAGGTGGAGCTGCGCAGGGATCGCGTCGGCCTCGGTGCCGAGACGGCGCCTGCACGTCACCGCCGACGGTCGCGCGACGAGCAAGGCAGTGTATCCATCCGCAGGACGTCGTCTCCGTCGCTCGACATGCTGGACGGCGCGCACAAGAAGCCGCGTTCTGCTGCGCCCGCTTCGACGGGTGTGGTCAGCAGATCGAGCTCCAGGGCAGCCGTGCACAAACGCACCGCTCAGCTCGCCGCGAGGAAGAAGCGGCAGCGCGAAACGGCGCATCAACAGAGCAAGCGCGAGTGGCTCGACCTGCGTGCATCGCTCTCGTGAACAGCCACGACGAGATGGGATGGCATTTTGGATTGCCTGTGTCTACACGGAAGAGCGGCTCTATCAGCGCATAGGCCTGGGCGTGGGCTAGGCGAGCTTGGCGAGGTTCTCGATGCCTTGCTGCTCGAGGCGCATGCCCTTCCACTCGTCCATCGGCTTGGCACCCAGCACCTGCGTGTAGAATGCGATCGATGGGCTGTCGGCAAAGACGCGCGAATCGTCAGAGTCAGTACGGTCCTCCGAATCAGCCGGCTGCAGACGAGGCGAGGCGACTTACGCATTCCAGGTGAGCACGGACCAGTCGAGGCGCGCGCAGTCCCTTTGCTGGGCCACCTGGCCGAGCGCCTTGAAGAGCAGCTTGCCGACACCCTTGTTGCGAAGTGTCGGGATCACGTACAGGTCCTCGAGGTACAGCGATGGCTTGGACGTCCAGGTGGAGAACGAGAAAAAGTACTGCCCCGGCCATCGACAGGTATGCAGTGTCAGCTCATGCTCAGCAAGCACGTTGGCGAAGCGGGCGTACTTACGAGCGCCATGCCGACGGCGACGGGGGCGGAGCTGGAGTCGGAGTCGTGCTGCTCGGCAATCAGCACCTCGGCGTAGCCCTTGTTGAAGACATTCTCCTCGAGCTGGGCCATACGTGCGGCGAGGGAAACATTAGCATGTCAGAAGGACGCAGGCGCAGAGTAGGGATGGCGAATAACGCACAGTTTGGACGGTGGCCTTGACGGCATCGGGCTCCTTTTCGTAGTCGGCGAGCTGTTGGATCTGTTGGATACCCAAATGCAAGACGTGTCAACGGGCGCGAGCCGGCGGCAGAGCGTGAAACGAGCCGGGCTTACAAAGTCGAGCACGATGGCGCAGTCGGCCTTGGTACCCTGACGGATGGTGAACTGCTTGTCGGCAGAGGTGGCGAGGGCAGCCATGTTGGAACGAGTGAGTATGGTGGAGGAGGAATGGATGAATGGATATGGTGCGGAGGCAAGCCAGGATAGGTAGCCGGCCCGCAGCTGATTCGGAGCGAGGCATGCAGAGGGTGGAGGTGTGCACCGCGAGTCATGCAAAGCCGTGCTGAGCAGCCGCTGGCCTGTCCACTCTCCGCGGCGGTTTGGAAGAAGTGCTGCATGGCCCCCCACGCTCAAATCCTCGGAAGGCGGGATTCCAAAATGAAATGCTCGTGTGCTTTCCAACCCGTTGGGATGGCGTTGCTTCCCAGCCTCATCCCTTTTCCTTCTACCACCTGCAACACAGAGCGCAAGTAGGACGTACGATGGGCGTGTCATCCACAGCGCGCCTTCCCTCGCTGGGCGCACAGTCCATCCCGCCACTCTTCAGCCACCTCCAGCACACGTCCAACGCCAAAGTCGTCGCGCGCTGGAGCATCACCATCCGCTCGTTCCGCGCCGTCCCCGTCCCGTTCAACGCGTGGCCGTCCGACTCGGGTCCAGCCAACGAAGATGCTGCATCGACCAGCGCTGTGCAGAATGCAGCCTCGGCATCGGCAGCGTCGGCGTCGGGTGCACCGCCACTCACCAAGCCCAGGACCATGTGGCAGGTGTGGCTCTCGGACCATCCGGGAGTGGTGTTTGTGATCGTCGAGGATACGGGCAAGTCGTCCAGGGCCAAGGCGTGGCGCGACTGGGAGGTGGCGGTGAAGAAGTGGAAGAAAGCGCGCCGCGCAGAGATCGAGGCCAGGAAGACGCGCGAGGCACAGGCTAGGCTGGAGTCGGAGAACAAAAAGCAGTCTGAAGCCGCCGAGGCAACGGCCGGCTCTTGCGCAACCGCCGCTGCTGATCCAAATGACACTGCGCATAGTACAAACGACCAGACGCAGCCGATGGATGTGGATGTAGCCAAGACCGAGGGCGCCGACTCTGCGTCGGGTCCCGCTTCGTCTGCACAGCCGACGCACGAGGAGAAAGAGGAGGAGCCGATTGCATCCGCTGGCGCGCGGCCGAGACTGCAGCTGCCCTCGCACACGCGCTACACGGTATCGGCGCTGACGGCGTCCATGTCGGCGATGCTCACGGGGCTGAACCTGCCGCCTCCGCACGGTGCGCCCGTGGGCACTGCGGGGCCGGGCGCATGGGTGCCGCGCGGCGCCGCGGTCTCGATCGAAGGTCTCGTGCTCGAACTCAACAGCCAGAGCCTCGATGCGCTGCCCGGCATCTCGCCCGCGCTGGCCTCGATCGACACACCCACGGACACCGAGGGCGGCGTCGACTGGCGCGTGCGCGTCGGCAGCGT